TAATCAGCACAGGAATACAGTAAACTTATCTTCTGGCTGCAACACTTAAAAATGACCCGTATTGTTTCCAATAAAATTTCCAAAATACAGACGACCTGTGGCAATGGGCATCACCTGCTGCCTTTCCTGAGGAAGGAGTGTGTGCTCCCCTGTATTTTGCTGAACAGCCTTGGGAGAATCTCACATCCTCACATCAGTGAGGATCCTACAGGGAAGAAAAAGCAAACAGAAGTCCAGGCTTGGATGGAGGGCAGTAAATTTTGCACAGGGAAATGTGTGGGGAAAACATGTTTTTGTGCAGAATGCAGAAGAGGAGGCAGAGGCCTGAGCCATGTCACAGAAAGGCATGGCTAACATTTACCTCTGGAAGAAGTTAGGGCCTCACCCACTAAGAGGAGATGTGGCTGGTTTGCAGCTTGGAACAAGCAGTACGTTTAGGGTCAGCCTGTGCCTACGGCTTCCTCTGACCTGCTGATGGACTTGCTTTGTTTCACCAGCATCACTGAAGTCGTAATTCACATATGGTTGTATCAGAACTATTCCAGGAAAGTTTTTCTGCTTGGTATAAGAATACCAACAGAAGCATTTTGGGAGAGGTTATTCAGACCTACACAGGCAAATCAGAGGTGTGCAGAAGGCCTCCATGACAATATCACTTCTTCTGATTTAGCAGTTGAGATCGTTCTAATTCTGCAGAAGACTGGATTAAATGATTTCAGCTGGCCTGATGTTTCTCACAGGCTGTTTCTCTGTCAGTCCTGCTTCTAAAAATATCAGAAGTTGGATTTGCAGCACTGATCTCTCTGATAAATAATCCTTCACTATCATTCAAAGTTCCCTACTCACGTACAATTTGCCTGATTTCACATAGAAAATGAAGTAGTAGAAGGCTGGTGTTTCAGAATTTCTGGTCTCCTTCCCCCACCTCTGTTTTCTTATATTTTGCTTCAATTTTTTATTAGCTTTTGCAGCAGAAAAAAACAAATCTTGGTTTCAAACTTTCTGTGTAGATGCAATATATGTTCACTTATCCAGATACTTCGTGGCTATCATTTTATTTCTCATGTAGGAGGTGAAGTCATTTTGTGCTTATAATGTCTGTCATAGGTTTTCAGAAGATGACTTGGTGGGCAGAAAAGAATAAATCTTTGCTTTATATATGCAAATCTATTTTCTGCACTGTGGAGTCTTGTTTGAAAAGTGCATAGCATAAACAATGAAGCTCCTTGACTTTCTTCCTCTACGTAGATAAGACCACTGCAGTGTGCAGCCACGAGGTAGTTGGAGTAAAGCTTAAAGGGTCCAGTTTTCTTCATGACTCTTGTAGGTTCAGTTACCTTTATTTTATTTTGTATTTTAACAAGGTAGACAGAGCTCAAACAGCAGCACTATTCTGCTGTATTCTCTGTTTCTTCCTTTCTGAGGGAAGATGGCCTCATTAATGATACAGACACTTGTGCTAGAAGCAGTTTTGCATGGAGACATTAGGCAGCAGACGTGAATGATTGGTGTCTTGGTTGTGCTCTTCGCTTGAGCCAAGATTTTCTTTGCATTGCTACTCTATAGTAGGATGCTCACACAAAGAGTACAGAATTGAATGCTCTCAAGAATGTATCTGAGGCACAAACAAATGCTCAATTTATTTTTTTAAACATTCCAAAGCCTTTCATTTTTTTTGTATTAGCAGTGTTAAACGTATTGATGATAATCTGATGCTCATTTTTAAAGTCCTTACATTGAAACTATTCGGGCCTTGGTTCAGTTATTCTGTCTGCTGAAGTGATCATCAGGGGCTAAAAGCTACCCAGATCTCTCTTGACAGACTTTAACACCTGAAGCCTGGAAATTACAAGCCTCTCAGTATCGCTCAGACCATGGGACATTTTGAAACAAATTGCCAGTTCTGGATGTTTTTCATTCCGTGGTGCCACTGCAGTGCTCTCCAGCCTGCTGAGTGCCTGTGCTCTTGCAGAACATCTTCACTATGCAAAAAAAAAAAAAAAAAAAGCATTCTAAAAACAGGCCTCTTGCTTAGTGTGGATCTTAGGCTTGATTTCCAGATGTGTAAAGAAAACTGCTCATAATTGAAAATATAATGGAGCCACTTAGCAGCTTCAGCTTCCCTGGATTTGGATTTAACTCTGGTCTGTTAGAGCCAGTCTAAGTTTTCAGTGCTGTTAGGGAGGGCTGCTCTGCCCCCCAGCCCTCCTCTCCCCAGTGCGCTGATGTGAATGTGTCAGTGTCAGTGGAAAAGAGGGGATTGAATTGAATCACACTGCTTGGGTAACTCAGGAATTGTTTCTATAGCAAGATAGAGGTCGTAGTAAATGCCATAGTTACTTTGTCCAAAATAAATAAGAACAGCAGCAACAAGGAAGCGTCATGGGCATTACTGTGCAACCAGCAATCAAATGGTGGAATCCTGCAGTCATGCTTCTCTGGTTGCCTTCACCTGCTAAAGCCCAAACCAGAAAATCTTCACTGCTCTGGTTGCTGCACAACCTAAATTAAAGCAATGTAGTTATTTTTCTTTATCCTATCTCCTCTGACAGTATCACGGGAGTGATAATAATTAGCAGCAGCTTTCTTGAAAGCATATGTTGCCTTACAGAGTCATGTACTCAATCATAAAGTCAGCTAACTTGTCTATAGTTTTGTCATTCTAGTTGCCGGGAGCTGTAAATATTGCATCTCCCAGACTTACATAGACAATACTTGTATGGGTGAATGGGCATCCTAAGAACACTGTCAGCTGCCATCCTTTACTAAAAATTTGCACCTATGCTATTCAACATGATTTATTTGACTCTGTGTTTGTGCTTTGGAAACAGTATGTGTTTTATAACTTAGACTTTACTGAAGATACAGATCCAAACTGATAATTAACACTTGACCTTACTGGAATTCACTTGTTTGACTGCCCAAAATGGCTACCTGCAACTTTGAAAAGCACATCCTTGAAGGTTAGAATTCATCTCCACCATCCAAAAAGGAGACATCTAATCTAAGCATCTTGTCCAGCTGTTTGCCTGCTCTCTTGTCAAGGCAGATGCATTTCCACTGAGCGATTTGTCCTGTCCTAAGAGATTTGTCTCTAGCTATCAGGAATGCTCATCCTCTGAAGATGCCAGTCTTCTTCCATTCACAGTAGGAGGAATTCAGATAATTAGATGAATCCTTCCTATACTGTGGATCCAGCGATGCACCACTGGCTGACTGACTGTGGTTTCTACTTAGCTAGATTTTCTGGTTTTATTAATAGAGAACTGAGGTCTGTGCTAGCAAATAATACCTAAGCTTGACAAAATGTATTACTGCAATAATTCAGAAATAATAGGAAGGTGATGGCCTTGATCTAGAGACTCCAGAGGCAACACAGAGGGCAGAGGAAGCTATTCACGCTATTTCACTGCTGATGCTGGGAAACGAGGTTAGAAAGCTGAATTTTCTGCTTAACCAATAAATGGAAATGAGCACCGCCTGGAAGAGATTCGGGGCGTTTAAACCAGGGCTCTGGTTGGCAAGTGGGACAGCTCAGCTGTGCAGCATCTAAGGTACGTGTGACTGATTTCATGGAAGGCCGTGCAGGGAACTGCCATGGTGCTCGCAGGCAGTCGGGCACTCGGCGATGGTGGGCAGCTGGGCCAGCAGCATCTGTAGCTCTCCCAGCCGAGCAGCTGCTTTGCTACCCTGCTCTCCTCCAAGAAACCATCGCTAGCTCCACTTTGAAGTGTCACTGCATCATTTGGCATTTTGAAGTGGACCTTCTTTAAGTTATTCAGTGGTATTTCAAGCATAACAGGACGGTGGCTCAGGTACAGCTGCTGTGTGTCAACTGTTTCAAGAATAGAAATGTATTGAAGCCAAAGGAATGTTAGGTCAATATTAACCTGGCTGCAGGAAGGCAGGCTGAAGGAGATAAACTGTCATGTTTAGTCTCTACATTAGAAGGTTAAGGTCTTCCAATCCAATGCCAGCTGCACTTATTGCTGTGCTTCGAAACTTCTATTTTTGAAGTCCCAAAGCCTAGGTAAGTACTAGCACCAAGCATAGCACAAAAATGCTCTACACGTTTACTTTTTGTTATAGTCTATGAGCGATTAATTTCTAACTTTTCTATTCCTTTGAAAACATCTGAAACAATCCTGATATGTTGTATGGAGTGCAGCGGAGTGTTTCAGCTGGATACTTCTTTCTTGTTCAGTCAAACTGCTTTCATTTGGGTATCTCTCCCCTATAAATAAGATTAGCTAAGCGAATACCCAAGTTACTGTAAAGCACCCAACTTTAGGCTCTTAAAGGAGTCATACATTTTATGCCCACTTATCACAGAATTTAAACAAGGCAGCCAGAAGTCAGTTGTGTAAAACATGAGTAATTTCATGAAAAAGCTGCTGCTGGTTATGTTACATGTCTGTGAAGCTTTTCAAAGTAACTAATTGCCATCAGTTAAAACATTATTTGGCAATCCTACAGTTAATGTCCTGCTCTTAAATAGCCGCTGCTGCACAACACCAAAGGAAACACTCATTAATTGTCTGATCACCAGAATCTGTGATAGATATTACAGATGGTGATGCACTATTCCCCAACAAAGTTCTTCACTATGAAAAAATTATTCGTTTTGATCTTCCAAAAGAAAGGTAATAGGACACTTACAGAGTATCTTAAAAATAACCCCTATGGTTATTCTGAAGCATTGCCTTATTTGTTAAGTGGAGGAGAGATGCTGGCAGTTAAAGGATCCACAAGGCTACTTGACTGCTTTGTAGGCAGTGCATTTGTGAGTACAAGGTGTCCACGAGTGCAGCTAAACAGTTTCTTTTTAAATACGACTCACACATGTAGCCATGCATGGGCCGGGAATAAAAAGTAACACAAAAGCTGAATTCCACCCTGGATTAAGGGAAACAATTTTTTTGTTGCAAATACCTTCAGGTGGAAATGAAAAGTGTAGCATTCCATGCTGCTTCATTTGTCACTCGAATATGCTGACGTACCTCCCCAGAGAACGCCTGTCCGTTGAGAAGGTGCTCTGATCCCTGGCTGTCCTCACTTCCGAAGTGTAACCGGATTTCCTCCAGGCGGTGGCTGTATGTCATCGGCCCTCCAGAGATGTTCACCAAGTGCTCTTTGTCTAATCGTAGAGAAACGTGTCTCCCTGTGTTGTACATTGTCCCGCTGACCTAAACAGAATGGGGGATGGAAAGTGTTCCTTTCAATATCATTTGTAATTCCTTGAGACCAATTACACACAATGCAGGTGTCTGCATCCTACACGTCTTCATTTAAACTTGGCACTGTATCTCATTATTACTGTGATGAAACACGTGACCTGAGGACATGCTTCAGGTGTGTGAATTTTAACTGTACATTAAAATATTTCTGTAAATCCATATGGAGCTGTTCTATCCAGGGCTGCATGGTTAGCACAATGAGTGAGACTATTATACTTCTGAATAAGTAGGCTTCTAGAATATTTCTCATCCAAAATCTGAGTAGTGACTTCATTACTAAATTTGTCCACTGAAAATGGGGACATTTCTGCTGGCTTAAATTATTTAAGTACGCTTGAAGAAATCTGAAATTTAATTCATTTTTTTCTTCTTTCGATATTCATAACAGTTATCTAAAAGTAAAGGTGCTGCAAAAGCAGGGAGATAATTATTCATAAAGCAGGGAGCCTTGCTCATTCTGATGCTGCAGGTCAAGCCATTCACTGTCCTCTGCTGCAAGGCTCTTTGTTCTGGGTATTCTACAGTCGCCAGAAGTTCTGGCCACAGTGGTACAAAATGAATTATGGCTTGGTGAGTATCTCCAGTTCCTCCTACACCTCAAGTAGCTGTAATGATCTTTGAGATTCAGCTTCATTTTTAAAAAGACTGAATGGTACACTTCACTGAAAACTGATATACGGTTTCTGTAATGAAAAAGAAAACAATTGTAGAAATCTTTTTTTTCAACAGAATATAATTCAGTCCCATTTACCCCTGTCACAGGAGAAGTTCCTACAGCAGGAGGTTCCTTAACTTACACGTCATCGAAAAGTGCAATACGCCAGCTTGAGTTAAAGTAGAAGAGTGATTGATTTTAGAATGCTCTGCGTGGATGCAAATGCTACACTTGAATGGCATTCATTTACGTTAAGAAGGGGAAGGATAGCAATAATATGCTTTGTTGCACTTCAATTTAAAATTAAAGACGTGCCTATTATGTATTATATCCTATACATCAGTGCTATAGTAATTAACATTGCCGCAGTGTCGTTTTATCTGTAATAGTAATTACAGAATTTAAATGACCTGTTTTGTTGCACAGTATGTTGTAAAAAAATTACAGCGCAGAGTGCGATGCAGCCGCACGAATGAGACGGAACAGGTTTTGAGTGCTGTGGTTATTTTAAACTTTGATATACGCCGTTTCTGTTTTGTTTATTCCAATTCAAAATAGACAGTTTCAAATGGTTTTAGAAAAGCAGTAAACACAAATATTCCCATTCATCTCCAGTAAAACACCATGATTTCATTTGTAACTGCTCCTTAGTTTTCTGCTTGACTTTGCGTACCTAATAATTAAATACCAAGTTTAGCTTAACAAGTGAAAGGTCAGGTTATTGAATGCAGTTGCAGTACACTGCGAACGGATGAGATGAAATTGCTAACAATGCTAAGAAATGCAGTTGAAAAACAAATAGGGGGAAATGGTTGAAAGCCTCCTATTCACATCTGAAAGCTCACGCTTCACTGAGCACCCCGTTAAATTTAGCAACAGTGCAGAATATTCCGAATCCATTTTCTTACTTAAATTGCCACCAATCTCAAATTAGGTTCCCATTATTTTCTCTCTTTAGGTAAAAGTGACCCAAATAACCTCTAATATGAATGAAATAACTCTCTGTAGAGCAGAGAGGGGAAGTGATAAGAGACAAATTCAAGAGCAGGAGTAACATTTGTCTTTCTCGTTTTCCCTTTCATAAAGACACAGAGCTTGTAATGAGATTGCATTGTCCATTTTGAAACAGGATTTCCCTACGTTACCGCAGGTAAAAAATACCAGTAATGAGCTGAAGTATCCGACATGCCTCATTTCCCACCTGCAGGGAGAGCTGAACACCTAAGTGAAACCACAAGAACCTCCCGCACAGGCACACGAGCTCATCACCAGGAAGGACAAAATTCAAGATGTTCAATATAAAAAATGCACGGCCGTGTCTTTTTTCCAGCATTTTTAGGCTCAGCTGGGGCACTGGTTCTCCTGTTCTGAGTGTGTGCATGTGGGAAGAGTCACATACTGCAACCCAGATCCCAGGCAAATGGCCCCTGATGTCTCTGTGCCATTGCTTCTGTACCATCGAGGCTTTTAATGGCATTTCTATTAAGGGCATTTGATCACTACAAGAGCAAAAGTGCCTGACGTTTGCCATTTACTCAGATTACATATGAATGAAAGATGAAAATGCTAAAGAACTTTATTTTATCTTTAATTTCTGGAGACCTTCTGACTTGCTATGTTTGTACAATAAGGCTGCGGCTGATCATGGCAAGTTTCACTGGACTGCTGTCTGAAATTGTTGCCGTGCGGGATTGTCTGCTTTATATACAAACTGAACATCTCATGACCTTTAAAAGTGTGCTTTTCAAGTACAACCACTTTCAGTTACAGGGCACAGTGCAGTCACCTCCTGCTTGTGAGCTCAGTCTGGAAATGCGTTACACTCAGTAGGAAAGCAGTGTGCAGGAAATAGGAGAAGTCTGTCTGGCATTGTTGGCATTGTTGCCAGCAGAAAACTTCCTGTTGTGTTTTCTCCATGTACACTTCTCACTGCGACTGGAGAAAAAGGAGATTCTGATCCTGTTCATTATGTGAAGTTTCTGACCAGAGAGGGACTTTCTGTATTTTATGGTACTGAGCCTTTAAAGCGATGGTGCAGCATCACTTTAGAGCATGGAAGTCGCTTGGTTTTGTGGACAGTGAAGTTGAGCAGGGTTTTGTAGGGGTGTCGTCTGTCTGCTGTGTGCCCTGCTGCAGAACAGGTGGTAGGAGGGCTCCCGGGGGAAGGACTTGGCTCTGCCCGGTCTGGGCAGCATCTACTAGTGCTGAGCACAGCGTGGTCTGTGGATTGGAAAAAGAGTCACGGGGAGTGCTTCAAAGGGGGGATGTAGAAAGGGCAACGCCAGGCTCAGCTAAGAGTTGGGTAACTGTCACCTTAAAGTGTCAAATTTCCCTTTGGTGCCACTTCTTCGCAGTCATGGCCTCCCGATGCTCTATTACTAAGTAACATTTTTGTTCTGTGTTTCACTTTGACTTAAATACATACACAGTTTTATTTAAACAACGTTAGGTAAAGATGAAAACAGCGAACCAGGCTGGGGAAAAAAAGCGCTAATTGCCCCTCTTGTGTTTTTGAAAACAACCAATGTTCACATTTATCTCACGTGCTACAATAAAGGCTGCGCTAAAGAAATTTATTAAAGCCTCCTTAAAAATCTGCCTGGGAAAACAGCTACATCCAACATTTTCAGAGTTAGCGATGCCACCGCACTCTCAGTTGACCCAGTTTTCCTCAAACACTGAGAAATGTTTCTGAACTGGTAGTTTTACCTATGGCAAAATCCCCGAGTAGAACAGAGAATGTTGATGGGCTTCAACCTTAATTGTGGAATATTTCAACTTTGGTAGACTTTAATTAAATTATTAACATATTCCTGATGTGTTATTTTCCATTTAATCTCATTCATTTTAATTCTTGCTTCACAGAGCTTTGTGCACATAATTCCCCAGCAGCATTATTCTCTCTTTATCTTGATGCAAGGCAGCCACACAGGCACGCTAATTTATGCACTGCTGCATTTCTAAGTGAGATCTGGGTGCCCGTGTATCTGGGTGGAACTTGCTGGCCCTACAATCAAGTCCAAGTTCTGCTGCTTGGTTGTAGAATACAAGATCAGCAGAAGTGCATAACTAACAACTGTGAATTCTTTGGCCATGTTTATCTTGAAACATCATAGATTTTTATGACCATGAGAAAAAAAAAGTAGCGGAAATAACTTTTCCTGATGTTGCTCTTTAACCCTGCAGTTATGGAAGCATTTCATCATGTCCTTGTTAACCCCGTGTCTTGCTCACTTACTCTTTTCTTCTGAAGCCGGTCCTGAACTAAATATTTTTCAGAACTTTCATGTTCTACATCACTACATTATAGTCTATGATAAAACTGCCTTCAAAAGGCTGTGCAGGACAAGCCTCAGAAAATGAAGCGTGTTTTGGGGTAAAGCTGTGCCAGTAACACAAGCAGGGATTGCAATAAGAAAGGTGAGGGAGCTGAGCTGGACTCAGGGCCCTTCATCCCATGCTCTGCTGCTGGCTCATTGTCACCGCTTTCCAGCAGCTCTCTGCTTCCCAAGGGCCTTCACAAATGGTGAAACAGTCTCTCAGCATTTTGGATTTATTCAGGTAACAGTGGCCTGAAGATCAGTTCCAAAAATATTTTTTCACTCGTATCAGTACCTGTCAGCAGAGCAGCACCGAATGTAAGGAAGCAGGAAAATCAATTGTGTATGGCTGCCTGCTGTGGTGTCCTTGGATCTTATCTGGGGTTTTAGCTGTTTCTTTCTTTGGGATGAAAATAGATACAGTCCAAAGAAAGCCTAGCACTGTGTAGGGAAGCAAATCACTAAGAATTGAAGGGTGTTTTGAAGATGTTGTAATGCCTTGGTTTTACATCCTGCAATAGCCACACTTCTGTCATCCACCGCATGGCTCCCAGATCCTCCCCTTGAAGTCTTATGTTCTTGCAGCTCTGCAGGCTCCAGGGGCAATGGGCTCTCTGCCCCACTAACAGCACCTGAGCTGTTAACAGCACTTGTTTTGTCACTGCCTCTGCTTTCTGCCATTCCCTATCAACACAGCAAGAGCAGTAGATGTGCCAGTGACTGCAGACCAGATTCTATGGGCAGCAGCCATCAGTTTTCTGCCCATCCATGGAAACATGAAAGCACCAATACTAAGATTGAAGTAGCATCTGTCATCTAAGGGACTCAAAGAGGTTCACTAAAGCAAAAACAAATATGCAACTGTCTTCAGGCTGACCAGAATATGTAAGCATTAACACCAGAGTGTTTGGTTTTCTTCAGACTTACGCAGGGTTGTCCCATTCCCATACAACGCCTCGTGCTGCAGCTCAGGT